TCAAGCTCAACCTTGACAAGACTGAGCTGCTCTTCCTTCCGGGAAAAGATTGTCCCACTCTTGACCTAACAATCAACATCGGCACCTCAGTTGTTTCCCCGACTCAGACTGCAAGGAATCTGGGTGTGACCCTAGATAACAACCTGTCCTTCACTGCAAACATCGCAGCTACAACCCGTTGCTGCAGATACACGCTTTACAACATCAGGAAGATACGTCCCCAGCTGACACAGAAAGCGACTCAGGTTCTGGTCCAGGCTCTCGTCATCTCACGCCTAGACTACTGCAACTCCCTCCTGGCTGGTCTACCTGCATGTGCCATCCGACCTCTGCAGCTCATCCAGAATGCAGCGGCTCGTCTGGTCTTCAACCTTCCTAAATTTTCCCACACCACTCCGCTCCTCCGCTCCCTTCACTGGCTTCCGGTAACTGCTAGAATCCACTTCAAAACACTGGTACTTGCGTACCATGCTGCGAATGGATCTGGCCCTTCGTACATCCAGGACATGGTTAAACCGTACACCCCAGCGCGTGCACTACGCTCTGCATCAGCCAAACGACTCGCTGCACCCTCGCTGCGAGGGGGACCCAAGTTCCCATCGGCGAAAACACGTGGGTTTGCTGTCCTGGCTCCAGGATGGTGGAATGAGCTCCCCATTGACATCAGGACGGCAGATAGCTTGCACATCTTCCGGCGCAAACTGAAAACTCATCTCTTTCGACTCCACTTCGAGCGATAGAACTATTAACAAAGCACTTATATACTAATAAAGGACTGGCTTATCTAAAGCCAGTTGAGTAGCACTTGAAATGTTTGGCTCTATGAAACCTAATGTACTTATATGATTCTGTTTTCTTCAAGTTTGTATTTTGTTGGTCGAACGCACTTATTGTAAGTCGCTTTGGATAAAAGCGTCAGCTAAATGCAATGTAATGTAATGTAATTTGAATTGGATTTCATTTTGAATGTAAGAATGTAAATACTGAGTCTGAAATAGTATAGCAATATGCTGTAAAATTATGTGAAAGCATGAATAAAACTACACATCTTCAGATGTTGTACATACAAGTGTCCAACACTAATAATACAAAGTTATTATGGCTGTGTGTACCTTGTGTGCACCGCCTAGTGGTTAAAGCACGTTATTGAATTATTGTTTTGATGTGTTTTATTTGTTTAAAAAAATATTAAGAGTACATACTTTCATAGGGGGAAAAGTATAAATATAGAATATAAAAAATCAAGAAGATACTATAAGTGATCTCTACAATAAAACAGTTTAGTGCAGAATGTACAAAGATATTAATAGGAGGAGGTGCAAAACAGAAAAACGAATTAACCTTTATTTAAACATTAAATAACAGGTTAAGGTATTCTTTTAAATAAGAAAAAAACTTTGGGGGTATCTATCTACAGATAAATATTAAGCCTGACAAAGTACTTAACGTCTAATATATTGCTTTCCTGCAATGTTAACTATGTTGAAGCACTTATTTGAACTGATATTATACATATGGATTATACTCTTATGTAGAGAGATAGAATAAGAAATGTGCAGAATATGACAGTTTAATGGTGGAGGGACACACATATTGATAGATGTCTTGTAATAAACTGTTGATTGCATAACTACACCGTAGTTGTGTATATGATATCATATGTCAATAAACCTTTGAAAATCTTGAAAGGGATGTGCAAAATAGCCATAATATACAGTCTTTAATTAACTATTAGTAGAGAATAACGAGTAATGAATATACTTTATTACTCGTTTCCATTCATGTCAATTGCAGATACATGTTTAGTCTTCTCAAGCACCAACTATCAAATATCTCTCCTGATTGTTGGCACTTGACAATCACCTTACCTGAATTTTACTCAGGTGTAACTAAAGTCTGATTTAAGGGTTGTTTATATTTCACATCCTTAATCAGAATCTGCAAAGTAACTAAAATAAGTGTAGTGGAGTAAAAATACCAGGTTAACCTCTGAATTGTAGTTTTACAAAGTATCAATGAGCTGTCATGTGGGTATATATTAATGCTATATATTAATGCTGCGCATTATGGACAGCGATTTTCACCCATTTATTAATTATATGTTTTACATTTGATAACACCAATGTGTTTAATACTGGCAACTTCTAATTGTGGGGAAAACGTTCACTAGAGACGTCCCATAGAACATTTTGCGAAACACAATAGTGTAGTGTATAGTTCTGGGATAGTCTGGCGTGGTTTCGTTCCATTTCAAACAGCTGTTTGACGCTCGGCGTAACCTTGGCGCACTGCCACTCCAACATCCAATCCCAGACCTTGAAGATTAATCACGGGGACTGTAGTCCTAAACGATAGCTGGGGATTATGGGTAGTGTAGTGTCTTCGGCCATCCTAAACTCAAAAATGTTGACAATCGCAATGATGCTCGAAATGTCCCTTATAGGCCTACGTCTGTTTCCGGTTATTTTTATTTTGAAATTCAGTTCCTGGCGAACGCCAAAAAAGCCAGAGATTATGGAATTAAACCAATAAATAAAAGCAAGGATAATTGTGTGTTATTGGTGAGTAAATAACAGTGTGTTATTTTGAGAAGAATAACAAATTAGAAGGAAAAAAAGATTTTAAAAATACGAGGCTCTGAGCCCCGTTTATTTTCCTCACAGACGGCAACACTAAAGGTCTAAAATAAAGACCTAAATGAATATTTGGGATGTTCTTGCCTTTAAATTCTTCCAATAAGTCCAAGTACAGAGGGTGACTTTGCTGTGAAAAAACACATTTCCACCAAAAAAACGTTAGCAACCATGAATGTGTACACATTCATGAAGTAATTTTCGTCATAACTAGCAAACTAAACATCATGTCCATGTACTGCACAAATAATCAGAAATAAAAACTCATTACTCGCATAAAATGACATCAAAACGCATTTTAACGGCCAAATGAACCTTAAAATAGGCCTTTTCCACCGAGAATAACACGAAGGTCGGCCATTGTTGTTGATCACGTGGTCTGGGAGCTGTTGCAGCGTCCATAGCAACCACCTTAGCAACCATGAATGTGTACACATTCATGAAGTAATCTTCGTCATAACTAGCAAACTAAACATCATGTACATGTACTGCACAAATAATCAGAAATAACAACTCATATTAATCGCATAAAATGACATCAAAACGCATTTTATTGGCCAAATGAACCTTAAAATAGGCCTTTTCCACCGAGAATAACACGAAGGTCGGCCATTGTTGTTGATCACGTGGTCTATGAAGGTCTATGGGACGCCCTGCCCGTAGAAGCCTGACGGTCAAGGGGTCCGCTGTCCGCAATGAAGGTCTATGGGACGCCCTGCCCGTAGAAGCCTGACGGGCAAGGGGTACCCTGTACGTCATATAGCGACGGGGAGGGGCCCTGACCGTCCGTCAATATGTGACAGGATGGGAGTGAGAACGTGTTGCACACACACACACACACACACACACACACACACACACACACACACACACACACACACACACACACACACACACACACACACACACACACACACACACACACACGCTATCAGAGTTCTGTGTACTGTTATGCTGTTATGTTCAGTCATCGTTCTTATGTTGAACATGAATACATTTCATGTACGTATTTCTTCTTTCATAGCAATTTTCCTTCATACTTTCTTGCTGTGGAATAGGTCTGAAATTCTATTCAAAGTGGTCTTAAGAAAGTCTTACATTTGAGTTGGTGAAACCTGTAGGAACCCTGTTCTAATATACTACTGTTGTGATTGACCTGGCTTCACATGAGGCTTGGCAAACAATCTCTCTCTAAATTACGTATATTTCAACATTTCTCCAGTCTGTGGGTCTACAATGCAAGCTAGCCGCTACTGAGTCACATTAGCCTGCGAACATACTAATGGTGACTTAACTGACAAGCATGACTGTTCAACAGGAAGCTATACTAAATAAACAGTAAGTCATCATGAAATGAAAAAGGTACAGCTTTAGATTGAAGTTCAAGTAGTACACAGGAGTTTGTGGGTGTAAGTGGGGTTGTTTCCATATACAATTACAGGGAGAATGTGGATTTTAAAACCTGATATCTCGTGGAGCAGTCAAGAGTCATCAATACTGAAATAGAACTTTATACAGTAGATCCCTGCAGATATTGTTTCAATCTAATAATCATGGAACGTGAAGAATAGAAGTTCCACAAAATGCTAGCATGAAAAGCTATTTCACTAGCTGAGATTAACAAAGATTACAATTTTACAAACCATATCAGTTTATGATGATGTAACAGTATTCAAGGTGCAGTAGTTTAAACAAAATGCTTCTCAATCACCTCATGCTTACACGTTACAGGGACTGCCTGAAATCAGAAAGATCCTTTTACTTGCAGTACAGTTTTTTATTTAGTTTGCTCTGGTGTGAGCTGCGGAGAGAGTTATCTGATGTAGAGAGGGCTGCCTTTCCTCAAATGTGATCAGACTAGATGGCACTCGACTTGCAATGCTAAAAGCGCAAAAATATAGAAAATAGTTCCTACAAGGAACGACTATCAAAAAGTGGATGAAATATAACCAGATCCTGATTTTTAGAATGAGCTGGGATTAGTTTTTCAAATGTATTTGAGAGAAGGCAGAAAACTCTAGCACAGATATCTTCAACACTCTAATAATAACACTGCAATAATATTGAAAAATAGTACTTCAGGTTAAAGGAATAATATATGTTTTAGAATTTTGGGCTGAACCCTGAAATTCATCAGGCATTATAATTATAATATACAATGATACTGATAAAGCCATTCCTGCATTATGAGTACTTGAATTTAGATTTTTCTGATCAACTTCCATTTTTGCTGAGTAGAGATTTGAAATGCAGGTATTTCCCTTGGAGTAGTGAGTCTTTAAAGACTAAATGCAACTGTTATTACAGTTATGAATAAAATCAATCACTCAATGTGACCTCTTTATCTCTCATTCTTGTCTCCCTAAGGTGCCCCAGTGGACTGCATGGTCACATCCTTCTAATAAGCCCCGATAATCAGGTATTCGAGCAAGAGACACACATCCAACTTCTAATGTCACCTTGTACCAGAAACCGATTGGATGTGATGGGAAAAGCCAGAGGAGGGTAAATTGCCTTCGTCTTGAAATGCAAAAGTGTCTACACACTGCTGGACCTTTACGGAAACACGTCAGGCTTTTGGCTATAAAGTCTGCATAATAATAGATGCTTTGCAGTTTGAAACCTTAAATCAGAGTGAACACGTTCTGGCCCTTCATCTCTTATGAAGAAGGAATTAAATGACAAAAAGGATGTTACATTCAGCCCCTGCATTTGTCAGGTAGACTCTAAATGCACCTATGAAAATGCACTGAAAGGATTACTGGATTACAGAAAACCCCTTTTATGACATTTTTCCAGGATCTTCAAAACATTTTGTGGCAACTCTCCTCTCTTTCCCAAGCATAAAGTCATATGCTAAAGGAATGCTAGAGTATGATGAAAGCATTATTAAGATTTTGGGACAATATGCAGATGTGCAAAAAACACACTTCTCTCATCTCTTAGCAGAGATTATTCATGATGCTCCTTGGATTGAATACACAGGCACATGTCTTGTATCAAGGACTCAATAATAACAAACTGTCAAAAATAAATGGTGAATCTGTGGCACTTTAATGGTCTCTCTCTCTCCTACAGCTCAGACGTTTAATGATGAATTACATGTTTGTGTTTAGACACTGGAAATCACTTGTACCTTTACAGCACTGGTAAACTGAACCATAAATGTTCTTAATAATAAAAAAGATCGTAATTAAATGGAAAGTGGTTCTAAAAGATGGCCAGCAGAACTTCCGCTGTCCCATCACCCCTCTACCTTCCGCTCCCCTTTGCCGTATAACAATGTCTGTGTTTGTATGTGACATACATCTTACAATATTTGATGATTTGATATCCATGATTTACTTACAATATAATGAAACTAATTACCATAATAAGGAGGAAAAACACAGCAACATATGAAATGGGGATTTTATGCTTTCATAAATACTCTTATGTGGATTTATAATTAAATAAAAAGGTATTTTTCTTGGAAAAAGATTGATGTGTTTATTTAAACTCAAGGGGTAATCATGATGCTAGGACAGTCTACTTCGATAGAAGCAAATCAATCCAGTATTGCAACTTTTTTAGACGGACAGATTCTTTGATGAAATAGTGAGAAATATATCTAATGGTGTGAGGCTGACAAGTGAGCAGCCCGACCAAGTAAGGAGACAGAGGCAGAACGTCTTGATACAACCCGGTGTGGGTATTTATTCATCTTTGGTACATGGTTGACCACATCAAATCCCCCAATGACTGTCTCCCACACTATTCTCTCCCAAATGAGCCCAACATGCCACCCTTTATAGCCCCACCCATTGGACCGTACTATCCAAAAGGGGTGGCATGTGCAGAGATGGTCCGCTCAGATAAGGACCGTAGTTATTCACAATAAACATTTAGTGGAGAATGACAAACATCCTTTACTTACATTATATTTAATTACTGTATGAAAAGAAAACCCGTTATAAACTAACAAGCCAAATGTACATGATAACAAATCACCCCTGCCTCCAACCTGCTCCTTTAACCCCATCCGGAACGATAAAAAGGATCCGCTGTATCCCCGGGGACCCTTTACGATGACGGACCTTGGGACCGGAGACGGGAGAGCAGGCGGAGGTGAGTGTTATGTAGTGATGGCAAAATGAAGCTTTGAATGAAGCGTCGAACCACTTGTACAATTGTGTCGGAAATAGGTTCATTTCTCGAAGCTTCAGTTACAGCGACCTCTCCTGGTGAAGTGCAAGGCTGCAGTGGGTTTAACGTATCTTTGCCTTGAAAAATATTCGATGCACACACACACAAAGACTGAATATCATGTTCTATTTGCAATTAAAGATTGATAATTGTGTGTATTGGGTTATTGAGAAGAGACTAGAGAGTGCTAGACATGTTTTTGGGCAGAGAGGGCCTTTTATCAGTTATTAAAGTTGAAAAGCAATGATTAAAATACGTCCATTACGGGATTTGAACCAGCTGCGCGGAGGACATCGCTGCGCGGAGGACATCACCGCATTCGGGCTGCCGGCTCTATCCACTGGACTATCTATTCCTTGAAATATTTAACTGTTTTCATATTACTGATAAAGTCTTTTTGTTCACAACTTCTCCACATTTCGAAGTGTTTCCCGAGCCAGAACGACCTATCTTACTTCCTGGCTTGCTCTATAATGATATCAAATGCAATAACAACAACAACTCAACAGCAACAACGCAAACTACGACAACAACCCACACATTGTGCATTGTTTAGAGCGGTCATAAAGTGTTGAAGCACTCAAGTTTGAAACTGTTTTAACCTGTCACCTGTCAGAATCGAGACGAGGCAGTGCATTGAATCGCGTGAATGGACCGTGAACCAGTCAAGTGATTCATTCAGGAAATGAAGCAGTTGCTGTTCGGACGTCACATGTCACGTGATTTGAAGCAGTTGCTGCTTCGGACGTCATATGTCACGTGATTTGAAGCAAGCTTCGAAGCACTGAAATAGGAAGTCCAGGGTTGAAGCTCCGTTCGAAGCTTCAGTGTCAAACTGCCATCACTAGTGTTATGATGTTGACTGTTATAGGAGTAACTTGTACCATTAATGCATCTTATATCATGACTTTTACACACTAAACATATCCTTTGCACCTAATCTCAACCGCTGTCAATCTACACAAACCAACACTTTTGGCGCTCTCGCTATAACTCCCCTTTCTTTCCAGGTGGAGCCGAGAGCGCGACCAGCGTCTGCCAGACGACATCACAATTTAATACGGTTGAATCACTTAATACACACTACATCAATAAATAGTATAAAATGTGCAAATAGGCAATGTTTAACTGTACTGTGCAAATCCCGCTAATAAAGTGCAAACTGTTCACTAAAGTGCTGAGTGACATTTGTCCTGTGCAAACCCACATGTGCACGATTACCCGACCCGAAGCCGTCAGTCCATAGTGACGAAGTTACCTTCGTCACAAATGGTTTATTTCTAAAATTGTTCAAATGTTAGTCAGCAATACACACTGTATTTTGGCATTTTTTCTCCTGTGTTTTAAGCAAACTATTAACTCCTCCTTGAGAGTACTAATCTGTGATGTGGATCTGGGACCTCATAAACGATTGTCTGCAGTACGTAATGTATAAGTATACTTTTGAGGTACTTGTACTTTACTTGAGTATTTAAATGTGTTGCTACTTTGTACTTCTACTCCACTTCAAGTCAGAGATAAATAGTGTACCTTTACTCCACAATTTAATACCTTTAGTTACTTCGCAGATTTGGATTAACGATGTGAAATAAAGTGTACAGGGTGAAAATAAATGGTGCCTACTCAGTTCCCTGGGGCCCTATCAGAAACGTCTCTATCGGACTTCCGGTAGCATGCATTAGAGCTCTCGTAATACTTCAAGTTTATCACGTAACCTTTTATGTTTTGCCTCTGAGTTTTTTTACTTCCGATAGACACTGAGACGCTTACAGAAACAAAACGACCAAATGCCGCCTAAAAAGTCAGAGGAGAAGAAGAAAGCTGACGAACAGCGGGGACATGTATCAGCTAACGTTAGCGTGGCTAACATCAAAGCGCCGCAAGCTAGTCCGAGCAGCAGCCTTGACACCCAGCCTCCGCTCTGGTTTTTGAGGGAGATGGAAAAAATGACTGAGATGATATAGAACACTTTTGCTGCCCGCCTTAACCAAATAGATACAGTGGGGTAAAAAAGTATTTAGTCAGCCACAAGTTCTCCCACTTAAAAGATGAGAGGCCTGTAATTTTCATCCTAGGTACACCTCAACTATGAGAGACAGAATGGGGGGAAAGAATCCAGGAAATCACATTGTAGGATTTTAAATGAATTAATTGGTAAATTCCTCGGTAAAATAAGTATTTGGTCACCGACAAACTCCACTATGGCCAAGACCAAAGAGCTGTCACAGGACACCAGAAACAAAATTGTAGACCTGCACCAGGCTGGGAAGACTGAATCTGCAATAGGTAAGCAGCTTGGTGTGAATAAATCAACTGTGGGAGCAATTATTAGAAAATGGAAGACATACAAGACCACTGATAATCTCCCCAGATCTGGGGCTCCACGCAAGATCTCACCCCGTGGGATCAAAATGATCACAAGAACGGTGAGCAAACATCCCAGAACCACACGGGGGGACCTAGTCAATGACCTGCAGAGAGCTGGGACCAAAGTAACAAAGGCTACCATCAGTAACACACTACCCGCCAGGGACTCAAATCCTGCAGTGCCAGACGTGTCCCCCTGCTTAAGCCAGTACATGTCCAGGCCCGTCTGAAGTTTGCTAGAGAGCATTTAGATGATCCAGAAGAGGATTGGTTAAATTGGGCCGGGGCTGTCCAGGGCTCAGCCCCGGCACATAGGACGATGCTCTGACGTCATCACCCTCGCACATTTATCATGTGTTTACAAAAAACTATACATATGTTAAAACGTTTCTCGTTCTTAACATAGACTATATTTATGGTCGATATGTGTTGACTTTACTTTAAAATAGCAGATCTCTGTGACCGGATATAGTTTTTCGGGTTAGTGAACGTGTGTCTCTGCTCCGTTCAGGAGCTGCAGCACCGCCCGGACTCTCTGCTCCTCCGTGCAGAGAGTCTGTAGCGGAGCCGCAGATCCACCCGACCCGTCCTGTAACACGGAGCCCGTTCCCTAAACCATGCTAAATGCTGGCTTTGGTCATAATTAAATAGTTTACAGTGAGATTTACTCACATACTTTGGGCCATACTCATGCAGCCCTACAAATGAACTGAGATTTCCACACAAATAATCTTTAGCAAGTGTGCAGAGCAATATTGGTTTAAAATAGCAATTTGAAGGTTGGATATTTGTAAAAAATATGTTGTGTATACATTAATAAATTAAGATGTAGCCTAAATCAATTTATTTGTATTGTGTGCATTTTATACAGATAATGGAGCAGTTACTTTAGGGCCTCTTATACACTAAAGCCCTTAAAGTCAAATAATGATAATTCTCCGCTACAGGGATACCGTCCGCATACTGGAGGCTGCGCGGAAGAAAAGAGAGCTTGCTTACGTACGGCAACTCCAAAATAATGTTGTTTCCCGACCTATCTCCCACACAGCATAAGAAATGGATGGCCTTCAACGTGCTAAAGAGACGACTCCGCCAGGCAGACGTGAGACACGGGATGTTTTATCCTGCGACCCTGAAAGTGGATACCTGCAGCGCGGCGACATAGGCGTTCGATTCGGTTGATGCGGCAGAGTCAGTACAGTCTGATAGGGAGTTTGTCAAGCTGAGACGAGGACATTGTATTCTTTGAAACAACCTGCACTGAACCAGGACTGGACTGGTAATACCACTTTTCACGAACACTGAGGGGTCCGATTTCAGGTTCTCTTCAGTGGGTATGTGTAAATATTAGGGCCGGGACTTTAACGCGTTAATTAAGATTCATTAATTACACAAAAATTAACGCGTTAAAAAAATTAACGCATTTTAATCGCACTTATTTTTGCACCGCGGAACGTTTCTCACTGGATGAGTTTCAGGCGTACCGATTATACTGGAGCACCAACTAACGTTCATGACTTCAGACAAGAACAAACCACAGTGAACAACAGTGGGAAATGTTGTTTTAAAAAACGGACGGATGGAAGCGTCGATAAGAGCACGGTTGTGTGCAAATTATGCAAAAAAGAATTCGCATATCACCGCAGCACATCAAGCCTCAAGTATCACCTCAATGCAAAACATATAGCAGCTAGCGTGGACGTTACCCTCTTTTATCGCGTTCACACCAAAAAGAGCCGGTACTAAAATTAGTTCATGAGAACCTTTTTACCCCCACGAAAGTCCCTGCTAGAGAGTAGAGAGCTGCTAGAGAGCAGGGACTTTCGTGCGGCTCTCTTGTGAGAAAATAGCTATATTTCTGATTGGCTGGGCTGATTGAAAACCACGCCCCGTAAAACTCCCAAAAAGTTTTGTGAAGCCGCCATTGT